TAGCCATACACACTCCTAAAGTGCATTTTGTGGTCTTGAAACGACAGATCCTGCAGGTGCTCTGCACTTCTCCCTGAAAATTTAAAATGCAATAAAGGGATGAAGCCCTGCTCTTTACAGCAGAGATCCAATGTTTGTTCATGTAAACATAGCTTCCAAACATATAAACAGTCCTCCAGGATGCTTCCAGTTGAATGGAATGATTCAAGGAATCCATTGGTCTATTCCAAGCAATATGATCGACTAATAATGGCAAGAAATTAATACTTCCCCAAACAATTAATCAGAGATGACATGACACCAACAGCTTTATATTTAACAGATATTAACATGTGAAATCACCCTTTGTCTACAGCACCTATCCATCTCCAGACCAACATATTGCTGCTTTGGAAATGTAGTTGCTGTTGCAGTGTAGGGAAATTTAACTAGCAGTCGTGAAGAAGTCATACTAAACTCAAAATGTTGACCGTTCCTTTTTTCACATGTGCTGCCAGACCTGCTGAGTTTTCCCCAGCGTTCTCGGTGCTTGTTTCAGATTTCTGGCATCTGCTATTTTTGCTTTTACAACCCCCAGGTTATGCAGAAGAGGATTCCACAAACAACAAGATACATGACCAGATAATCTTTTTCTGAGGGATAAATGGTGGCTTGGGCAAGGGTAGAACTCTCTTCCATTTCATTAATAGGTACCATGGATTATGTCACATCACCTCAAAAGTTAGATGGCATCTTAACGTAATAGCTCATCCGTAATGTAGGACTTCCAACAGTGCAACAATCCTAGAATTCAAGTGCTGACCTAGACACATGCTCAAAGTTTGAGTGAGGATTGTACCAAGAATCTTCTGACACAGAGCTGGGACCCCTATCATTAAGCCAAAGTCAACACTCATTATAGCATCAATCAACTTTGGGCATTGTGTTGGTCGGTCAGCAAAAAACGAATCCAAAAAAATTATCCATCATACCCAAGAAACATAGGAAGGTTACATCTCAAAAGGAGCTCTACGGTCTATTGCGACTGTGCCAACTGAAAAATCAATCCAGCTCCACTTTACAGCTTGTGGTCAACCCAGATGCATTTCCACCACTACTGTATTTGTAGCCAATAAGGTTCAGACCACCACCCCATCTGGCAGACAAGTAACTCCCCTCAACTGTCATAGTATGAAAGACCGTTCCTTTTGCTCATTTACCATCTTCTCTACTTTCACTTGCTTAAAACCTATTACATTGTTAATTTTTTCCAATTCTTAAAAAAGGTAATCAACCCAAAATGTTAACCTTGTTTCTGTTTCCAATGATCCCACCTCTCCTGCTAAGCATTTCAAGAATTTTCTGTTCTATTTCAGACTTCCAGCATCCACAACATTTTACTATTGATTTATAATGCAGGCTTGTGATAGGGATTGGGATGCTTGTACAACATCTCACCTTAATAATATTCTCGCTACAGTTTTACACAGAACTTGTACAAAAACAACAGTTTCAATTGAAAAGAATGCTGTCAGCCTACAATGGGGAACATATTTTTGGGACTGAGTCATTATTTCTAAAAGTATAATAAAGGGAAGACTGTCATGTTTAACAGCATCTCTTGGTTACTGGGGTGATCCTGGGAGAAGGCAGAATAGGACCAGTTTTATAGATCTGTATTATCATTTGGTAAATTCATCTGTGAAGAGGGCAATCCAAGGAGGTCTCAATATATTGTTCGTCCATTAAAATACAGTTAGCTCTGCTATAACATGTGTTTTGTTAACATGAATTGGCTGTGACACAATTGATGAATAGTGGTAACGCTGTACAGGTATAGTGTTTTTTTTACAGCAATCTCCCTGTAACACGGTTTTCTGTAGCGTGAAGTCACACAAAAATGCAATTATCGTGTTATAGGAGAACTACCTGTAGAAGGGTAGAAATGGACACTGCAGTAATAATGCCCTGAAAGGTGGAAATGACCCCTTCATAGAGAATTGTCACCCAGTCACTAGTATCACAACACAGTGAGATAGAAACTTCACAATCCAATTAAAGATGTCAGGAATAGGTGGAGAAGAGACAGGGAAGGAGAACATAATAAAGCTTGGCTGCTTTGTAAGCATATTTTCAAGAATCTGTGCTCCAGAACTAACCATGCCCCAGCCAAGCTATTTCAGTACATGAGCACTTCCCTGACAACATGGAAAATTGCACATGTATGCCCTGTCAAAAAAAGTGTGAAACAAACACAACCTGGCCAATTACTTCCCCATTAATGTAGTCTTGATCATCAGCAAACTGATAGAAGGGATTGTTGACAGTGCTGTGATGTGGCACTTCATCAGCAATCACCAGCTCACCGATGCTCAGTTCCTGAATTTATGACAGCCTTCGTCCAAACATGGATAAAATAACTGAACCCCAGAGATGAGGTGATACTGCTTTTGATATCAAGACAGTCGCAAATCAAGAAACCCTAGTAAAACAGAACATAAGTTTGTTTAAGCCCACCACTGTAGACATTGCTCAGGGTCATGTACTGGCTGCTACTGTCTTCAACTGCTTCATTGATAACCTTCCTTCTATAATAAAGAAGGTCAGAAGTGGGAATATTTAATAATGACTGCAAAAATGTTCATCACCATTTGTGACTCCTCACATACTGAAGCAAAACCTAGATAATATTCGGCTAAGGGGTGACAAGTATCATTCATGACAAATGTCAGGTAATGACCATCTTCAAAATGAGGGAATGCAACCATTTCCCCTTGATATTGAATGGCACTACGATCACTGAATGACCCATTATTAATGTCCTGAAATTAGCATTGACCAATAACTGGACCAGCAAAATAAATACTGTGGGTATATATTACAGGCAGAGAATTCAGCAGCCACTCACCGCCTCTCTTCTCAATGCCTGTCTACAAGTACAAGTCAAGAGTGTGATGGAATACTCGTTTGCCCGGATGGGTGCAGCTCCGACAATATTACAGAAGCTTGATGCCATCTGGAATAAAGCAGCCCACTGACTAGCATCCCATTTCTCATCTTAAACATTTACTTCTCCCCACCACAGGTGCACAATAGTAGCAGTGACATGATACATTGCAGCAATTCACCATGGCTCCTTTGAAGCACCTTCTAATACTGCAATCTCTATCACCATGTGTGGAATTTGCATTTTCTCCCCATGTCTGTGTGGGTTTCCACTGAGTGCTCTGGTTTCATCCCACAGTCAAAAGATATACAGCTTTGGTGAACTGACCATGTTAAATTGCCCATAGCATCAAGGGAAATGCCGTGGGAAATGCAGGGTTACAGGGATGGGATAGGGGGGTGGGTCTGGATGGGCAGCTCTTCAGAAGGTTGGTGCGGACTCGATGTCAGCATGGCCTGCTTCCACATTGTAGGGATTCTACAATTCTATGACGTGGGAGGACTATGGAGCAGATGTTGGGAACATCACTACCTACAAGTTCCCTTCAACACCACATACTGTCCTGACTGGAATCATATTGCAGTTCCTTCAGTGTTGCTGGATCAAAATCCTGGAATTCCCTTTGTAACAACATCCTGGTGTAGCTACACTACATAGGTTGCAGTGATTCAAGGTAATGACTCACTACCATGTTCTCAAGAGCAATTTGTGATGGGTAATACATACAGCAACATCCACATTCCATGCATGAATATATAAATGAAATGTGGAGTAATTATCCACGATGTAAATGCCACTGTGCATGTTTGGGTATGGGCGCTATGTCAGCAGACTGGGACAGACCAGGCCTCACTAATCATCTGCAAATGCTCGATTATGAGACTATGCTCTACTTGCACTATTGTCAGCATCAGTGCCAGCGTTATTGACGAGGAAGATGGAAAGGCAAGGAATCAGGCACAGTCTGAGTGGGAGCAGGGTCAAATTTTGAGAGTAGACCAGGGTAGGGCAGCAGCAGGATCAGGGGAGCCAGTCTCTGTTTCTCCATTTTGTGCATTTGTTCTTTTCATAAAAAGACATGAGCTGCTGCTTTCTGCCACTTATTAATGATCATGTCACTGTCTTTCCATATGAGCAGTCTTTGTACCATCTATTGATGGTGTTTGTACAAGTCACATTATGGACGTGGGTTGGTGACTCCTGTGACACGTTATATGTAGCTGAGGCAATAAAACTACAATTTTATACATTAAAAAGACAGATACAATAAAACACAACAATTAGGCTTTCCTGGAGTAAGTAAATGTACCACTTAAAGCAAACTTTGAATTTTAGGTGGCAACAACCTAGTACGAGCAAATTCTCCATCTTTGACAGCCATGCTTTTGGCTGGCTCAGCAATTAGCTGTGCCGTCCTGGTCTAAAATTTTTCTCTCAATTAATATTGAAAAAACTATGTAGTCATCTCATTGCTGTTGATGGAAGCTTACTGGATACCAATTCGCTGCTGTTTTTCCTAGTCTTGTTTACCTCTTTGCGTTAAACTTGCTCTTCAAAACCTACATCACCCATCCTTAGATATTCTTATATAGATTGGTACCAAATTTTATTTTATACCACTCCTTTTGATTTGCCTTGGGGCATATTACAATGTTAAAGGTGGCTATAATTAATTGGATTTATTATTACTCATCTGTATTAGGGTCACTGCACCGTCACACTAGGCACAGATGCTGGTTAAAGTATCACAATAAGTCTGTACACATGCAGGTTCTGACAAAGCCTTTGGGTCTAAGGAAGTCTTGTAGTACATTAAAAAGGCAATTGCAGGAAACAGTGCAGTTAGCTCACGTGTTCTAGATTGATAGGTTGCAATATAGGGGTAGCTGTAACCTACCAGACAGGGCACAAGAGAACTCAATTAAATAACTTTTCTATAACTACTGTTGAAGGGATTGATGATAAATCTATTCTATCTTGCTTTCAGGAAATTACAGCCTGGCGGAAGAAATTATCTGCCTTGCTCTTTTTTCACAAGAACAAAGAAGTGACCTTGATGCAATGTGTTCTTTACCATTCTCCGTCGATGAACTTTGCGATACAATAGTCTCCGCGGCGGGGTGTGTAGGAGCCTTCCATAGGTGGATGAGCCGCTATCTCACTCCTCATACTCTCCATTAATTTTTCCAGCTGAGTGCCTGCAAGCAAGAACAGGACAAAGGATAATTAGGTTTAGATTTTCACACTGGCACCTTAATTAACACCTCGCTACAGTTTTACAGCATTCCAAATGGAGTTCCACAGAAGGATGAAGTAACAGTGAGGAATACTGAATGAGTAAAATGTGAATCACCTTGAGAAAGTTCAAAGGAACAACCCTGTTCCCAACATCATGTGAACAAGATTCACATAACAATATTTATCTTAGAAAATTGCATTTCCTCTTCTTTGTTTCGAAAGAAAAAAAAATTGCCCATTTATTTATACTGAAATCAAAATCAGCAAGAGGGCAACTGCATCCACAATGCAGATAATTTTGCACAATTTTGACTGACGGTGTTCTCAGTTTAACTTCCAAATAAAAGCATCCAACTGCAAAGCAGCAGAAACCATAATTAGTTGGGGAAGGGAAGAAATAATCTATTTGAAAGCTGCTGTTTCAAAAAGGGTAAAATGTCAGGGAAATGGTAGAACAAGCTTGATTGACGGAATGCCTGTCTGTCCTAATGGCTCAGTCAGTAAAGCCACTGAGCACTGTGGAATGGAGACACAATGGTGTTCCACATACTCCAAATCAGCTCAAGTATCCTGAAACTCTCATTCCAAAAATCAAAGAATGATACAATACAGGTTTCTGAGCCAGATTTTGAAGAAGTAATTACTTAGTTCCTCTGTTCTTTTCCAATAACCCTGCAAAGCGTTTCACCTTTAAATAATTATCCATTTCCCTTTTCAAAGATAGCAATCCAGATCATTATACCTCACGATAAACACATTATTCTTCATCTCTCCTCTAGTTAGCCATTAATGACCCCTACTGCAAGTGGCGATAGCTTCTCCATATTTATTCAACAAAACCTTTCATGGTTTTCAACACCTCTTTTTCAGTCTCCTCTTAAAAATTCTTTATTCTTAAAAACATCACCATCTTTTCTAGTCTATCCATGCAAGTCCTTCAAGCCCAGGAGCACCCTAGTACTAAACTCCCTCTGCACCCTCTTCCAGGCCTTACATCATTCCAAAAATGCGGTGAGAACCAAAGCATATCCTGATCACTGCTCATTGTTAGTTCTATCCTCCTGTACAGGGTCAGGCTGGGCTTTGATTACCCCTTGTTACCAGATACCTCCTTTTACTTGTTTTGTGTAGGTCTGCTGAGGCTAACAGTGAGGTGCTAATCACTGCCCCAGTTCAGATCAGCTATCTCAAAATAAATCCGTTATTGAACATGGGATGAGTTACACAGCTTGGCAGCACACAAAATCCATATTCATCAAGCCATCTGGGAGCTTGTGATCTATGAACTAATTTAAGTAGTTCTGATCTTAGAATTTCTTTTTAATGCAAAGAAAATTTTATTAAGCCAAACTGGAGTTGAGAATAAAAATGGTGGTAGAGCATTTCATGTTGATTAGGGATAGTTTCCTATGTGTGACAAGTTCCAAACTCACTTCTGTTACCTCAAATGTCACGACTATATCCAACAATACTAACAAAACAGGGCAAATACTTTCACGATAAGCTGAGCCACTATTCTTCAATAGCAGGAGGACAAATTTAAAATTCAGTTTGTGTCAGAACATCCTTAGTTCTTGATCAATGGAACCAGCAACTTGCCCAGCGTTGAGAACATTGACAAAATGACAGCAATTCCCTTCTGTAATGGTAAGAATTTAAGAAGAATATGCTAATAAGCAAATAACTAGGATATTGAACATATGACCAGCAGCCACTTCACAGTCTAGTTTTCAGCTAAGTGAGACAATTGCAGCTTTGTTTACCGAGAAAAACAGTTGCTAAACCTTTCAGACTTGTCAATGTGAATGCCACCACCAAGTGGATCAATGCATCCCCACAGCATACATACAGTGATGCAGCTAGTTGACATCACTGGTTCTGTCTATGCACATGGAGACAGACATTTTATTGTGGTCTTTCACATCTGGTCAAGGAAATAGATCTAGGTGAGGGGAGGAGTGGGGTTGGATGGGTAGTGACCGGCACACCAAGTGTTCCCTTCTGCTGCAAGAAGTCCCCCTCCCACTTGCCCCTACACTTCCCAGGTTCTTCATCCCCAGCTGAGTAATATTAGTTACATATTATCATTCGGCCTATCGAGTCCACACCAACCCTCCGAAGAGCATCCCACCCAGACCCCCTCCCTACCCTATCCCTGCATTTCCCACCCTAGACACTATGGGCAATTTAGCAGAGCCAAACCACCTAGCCTGCACATTTATGGACTTTGGGAGACACAGGGAGAATGTGCAAACTCCACACAGACAGTCGCCCAAGGCTGGAATTGAACCCGGGTCCCTGGTGCTGTGAGGCAGCAGTGCTAACCACTGTGCCACCGTGCCGCCCAGACACTTTCTATGGCCTGTTTCAGCCAACAGACGTTCATGATCCATACATGTCGATGCCCAAGGTGGTTTTGGCATTGTAGATAATCACTGCTAAAACTTTATCTGCTGAATAATCCAGAAACACATCTTCAAATAAACAGAACATACATTTTGGTTTATCAGTCCTAGTTTGGGGATTGGTAAACTTATGTTAAGCCAGTGCTTCCCAATTTATTCTAATGGGAATCCGTTTTGAGACTTGAAATTTGTTACAACACTCCTAGTGAGATCTTAGAATGCAAACTGGGGTGGGGGAGGAGACCTGGGAGAGTGGAAGTAAGTGAAGAAACCTGTTAAAGTGGAAACCTGTCTGTTATAATTCAGTCAAAGCTCTATACTGGCCATTGATGTCTTGGACCTTGTGGTCTCAAAGTTTCTGCTCATGATCTTGCTTGTGGTCTTGATCTCGACTTTGAGAAGCCCCGATGTTAAGCAAACAGAGCACAATTTCAAAGCCAAGGAAATGAAAGAGAAAAAAAATCCTCCAAAGTTCACAGTAAAGGCAAGTTCCTCTCTCCTGAAATAGTCTCTTGGTTGAAGTATTCTGGGAACCTTGTGAAACCTGAAAAGTTCATTGATGATTACTTTCCAAGGATCCAGAACCAAGTTGATTTAGTTGAAAGGAAACCCAGTGAACAGGGAGAAATAATCCTATTGTATGCTTCATTTTCAGATTCTGGCCATTAAGAGTTTTTACATCCATTTAAAAATAATTATTTCTGCTGTCGTGTCTACATTTGGGATTAACAGGATGTAGTTACAATTCAGAGTATAGTTTATATATTAATCTGTGTTTGTCATTTGTTTTAAGAATAAGATTGTTGTTACAATAATGGATTAATTTGAATTCATTTTAAAAATCTAATGAAAGCTTGCTTATTCTTGATAATGGTAAAATAGAGAAGCAATTTGCCATTCTGATGATTAAATCAACACATTCATATAAATGGTACAACTGGAGGAGTAGTGGGGCTAGTCACAGTCATAACAGATTCATGGAACCAACTGTTTGTTGAGTCACTTGTGCCATTGAATAAAGACATCAATGTTTACTTGGACAAAAGACAGGATGGAGGATAGAAAATTGGCAACTAAGAGTGAGAAGTAAAAGATAATGAAGATTGGCAGAGGAAAGATATAAGAGAAACCTAAGAACTGGTGTAATAGCAGACTTTGATCTTGTAAGGCAAGGCTTTGCACTCTGGTTTGTTTAGTGTGACTCAGGAGTACTTAACAGCCAAAAGCCAACAAACCCCAAAAAGCTAACAGTCGACATCCCAGGGTTCTAAAAGAACTGACTGGAAAGATAGTGAATGCACTAAGCATGATTTTCTAAGACTCTAGATCATTCTTTGTAGGTTGGCTACAGCCCTACAGGGACAAATACATTCAACCTTTTCTGCTCAATTCAATTCTGTCTTTGTAAGAGACCGTTAATTGGGCCCTGGGAAACGCATTTGTGTTCACTCATTTCCCTTCAGGCCACAGGCCTTTTTCGCTTTCTTGCATTAGGACATAAATAAAGACTTTGAAATAACTCCATATCACTAAGTCACCCTTTATTTACACGTGTATAGAAACTTGACACTGGCCCAGCTAGGACAGAGCCAGCTCCTGGAGTGAGCAGAACCTCTGACACTCCTGTTTATCTCTGTCAGCCAGGGCTCCCTGATTGGATGAGATTCACAGCCCCAATCAGGGAACTCAAATTTTATGAGATCCATCTGGATGACCTCGTTCCAATCGCTACAGACTTCACTGCTCACGTACATTTTTAGAAGAATGAAGACTCCTCCAAAGAAAGCACAAAATGCTAGAGGTGTCACCATATTTGCTCGCGATATCCCAAAATAACAACTTAAGTGTCATCTCTGCTATAAGAAATACAGCAGCTAATTTGTACATAGCAAGATGCACCCACCACTAAATTAAAACAAAGAACTAAGGATGCTAGAGATATGAAACAAAAACAAAAATTGCCGTCAAAATTCACCTGGTCTGGCAGTATCTGTAGGAAAAAAAGCAGAATTAATGTTTCTAGTCCAGTAACTCTTCATCGGAACTGCTAGCGGCTGGGAAATACTGCTGAATGCGCTTATGTATAAGATGAGCTGTACTGAATGCAACTCATAATCTGATCCTACGCCTAGGAGTAGGTGAGAATGAGTGACTGTGTTGAAAGCAACTCATGTCATAACAGGACCCAGCATAGGGTGAGTAAAAAGAAATGGAAGCATAGAATGGAATCAGGCTTTAAAGTTATCAAATTCGATGTTGAATCCTAGATGCTGCAGGGTCCCCAAGTGGAAAATAAGATGTTGTTCTTCAAGCTTATGCTGAGGCCGAGGCTGAGGCTGACAAAACACAGCAGCAGGCCTGTGACAGAAATGCTGCCCTGGTGGTGTACAGGAGTGGCAGGCAACTTGCACTCAATACTCTTGTTTGAACAGTGCCAGAGTGTCTTTTATAACCAATGAGAGAGCAAACAAGTACTGTGGTTAACGTCTCACCCGAAAAACAGCAAATCAGTGTACAGCACTTCCTCAGTGCAGTACTGGGAATGTCAGTCCAGT